GTTATAAATAAATAGCTTATCTGTCCCCTTACCTGGATTTGTAGACTATAAAATAACTTTCAATCTTCGGACTGACTGTAATAAAGTTTTTACTATAACATTATATTAATAAAAAAAAATAAAAATCACAATAATAAGCTACAGTATAATATATTTTCTTTTATACAAAGTAATTTTTAAATTCATACAAAGTGATTTTTAAATTTGTACAAAATAACTTTCAAATTTATACAAAAGAATAATATAATTTAGATTAATTAAATCATAATATATTGTACTTTAGTAATCCAATTTAGATGATTTTGGTATTATTCAAATTGCCTTGTAGAGAAAATTCTAATAGTATTATAATCAATCAAATTGAACTATTAAATTATGAGATATTGTGATTTAAATAATCTAAATTACAGTATATTATTATTTTGTATAAATTTGAAAGTTATTTTGTATGAATTTAAAAGTTATTTTGTATAAATTTAAAAATCACTTTGTACAAATTTAAAAGTCTCTTTATACAAATTTGGTATCAAAAAGAATATAATCAAAATAATTTTTATTAAAACAAAAATTAAGTTTTGATTAAAATTAGAATTAGAATTAAAAGTTAAAATAAAATAAAAGCTTAGTTTATATTAAAATTTTGCAAGTAATTTTTTTTGTTAAAGCTCAAAAAGTAGTTTTATAAATAAAATTTTAAGCTATATTTTTTTTTAAAAAAAAAAAAAAATCTATATTATATTTGATCTTAATATTATATTGCAACTTATAATAAAAACTATTATAGTATTAAATACTGTAGTTAAACCTTTATAAATACAATTTCCATAAATGCAATATCTTTTTAAATGCACATTTCTGCCTGGCTATAAGAAATTATTGATGCTAAATACACATTCTATATTCTGCAAATATATGTTTACTCAAAAAATTTTCTATATTATACTAACCTCTTCAAATGCACATAGCTAGTCAGAATTTAGTATTTAAGTTGTATTATACAAGTCTGCAAATCAAATATTAAAAGCTGCAATTTGATTGGCTTCTCTAAATGCAAACCTCCCTAAATGCATAGTTGAAGCTAGTTTGTACATATTGCATTGACTATAGTAGTGTGATTTAACAATACTATTTTTAAAAAATTGTAAATACTTTTTAAAATTTTAGGCAAATTTGTCTGGAATATAAATTAAAAATAATCTTATTTCTTAAACTATAGAGCAATTCCAGGCAAATTTGTTTGGAAAACAGTTTAAGAAATACAGTAACATTCTACAGTATATTGTGCTATTTATACTAAAAAAAAAAAAACATAAAAAGACAGTATAAAATTCAAGGCTTTTAGATATTAACTCTAGCTACTATAGCAAAATTGTTAAAAAAATTCTTAATTTTGATTTAACTATCAAAAAGTCAAACTAGAATTACTTGAAATTTTACTAATAAAATCGCAGCCGTCTATTAAAAAAAAAATTGTTCCTGGGCCAATTTTGCCATAGTGCAGGCTTTTTTTCTATTTGAAAAAATCTAAGTTAATTCCGGTCGGAAAATTAGTAACCAATTTTGTAATGCGGCCAAAAAATCGAGTATGGTTAACGCGGGTGACCCGGGTGAGGCCTACCCGGGTCAGAACACAGTTTAAACTTCTCAATCTACTAACTTCTCGAACATTCTAAGAAATTCACATATCAAACTACAAAAATTTTTGTACAACCCATAGTCGTATCAATTTTCAGAGAGCTTACGTGGCATCCTAATCAAGACAATTGTGTAATTGGATAAATTAGTGTATAAAGTGGAAGTAACGAGACTATTTTTTGTAGTCACTGTTTAACTGAAGCTCGTCAAAATGCCTGAAATAACTATTAACGTCAAATGTTCTAATGACCAGAAATATAGCGTAACGATAGATACTTCTAAGACGGTGCTAGAATTTAAGCAAGCTATCGCAGAGAAATGTGATACTACCGCGGATAGACAGAGATTGATATACTCTGGCAGAGTCTTAAAAGACAATGATACGCTCGAAACCTACAAGATCGCGGAAGGTCATACAGTTCACATGGTGAAGAGTTCAGCGCCTAGTGGTAGGTTTTCTTTCTCGTTTATTTTTGCAAGCTTTGCCGGAAAAAACTATCAATTTCCAGCATGCAAGCATGAAGCCATTTAAACTTTATAATAAACTGACTTTCCAAGGGCTTTTTACAGCCACAAATGATTTTTGTATACATTATTTGTATTATATTTTACAAGTCTAACGTCCGAATTCATAATGCATCTTGACATTAAGGCTCGTCACAGGCACAGGCATCCCAACAAACACAATCTGCAACAACAGGTAACACACAGACCCCACAACAACCGACTGGATTTTCACCTAACGCTAATCCATTCGCTCAATTTGGCGCAATGGGCGGATTCAATCAAGGCACAAATCCATACGGTTCTCCATATGGTGGTATGCAGAACCCGTTGGATTTACTCCAGAACCCTGCGATAATGCAATACATGCAACAAATGCTTCAAGATCCTCAATTCGTTGAAAGTATGATCCACATGAATCCCCAATTCTCATCAATGGCGCCTCAGATTAGACAAATGATGCAAGATCCAGACTTTCAAGCGATGATGTCGAATCCTGAAACTTTCAGGAGTTTAGCTGCTTTACAACCACTCATGGGAAATCTTGGGCCATTCACTGGTGGTGCAATACCAGGTCTTCCCGGATACAATACGCCAGCAACTACAGGCACGAATCCGACCACCAACTCAACCACTAATCCAACCACAAATACAACTGCAGGAAACACTGCTGGTACTACTACAACAGGATCTACACCTACATCAAATACCACCACTCCTAGCACTACTACTCCTTCTATTAACAACAATCCATTTCTTCCGTTTTTTAACCCTACTGCAGCAGGTGCAGCAGGTACTGGAACTAATCCCTCACAACCTCCTATTATGCCTCTATTCGATCCATTATTGTGGGGTGCACTTGGTGGAGTACCACCTACTACCACGCCTACTACTACTTCTGCTTCGGCAACCTCACAAACCCCACAAGTGCCCCCAGAAGAGAGGTTCCAATCTCAACTTCAGCAATTGAATGATATGGGGTTTGTGGATGCACAAAAAAATATTCGAGCATTACAAATTTGCCAAGGGAATGTGAATTTTGCTATTGAAAGACTTTTAGATCCTTCATTTTAGTGGTGCAAAGATTTATAAGTTTGGAGAGGAATCTTTAGCGCAGATCTGAGTTTACAATTTTATCCCAAACCAGGATATGTAGTTTGAAATAATTAGTGCTTAGCGTTTTTTAAGTTATTCAAAAAACTGTATATTTTTTTTTTTTTTTATAAAACATTTAATAAAAATTTTTAAATAAATAAAAGATAAATAAAAGAATTATAATTTAAAAGCTTTTGTTTTGCAGTACCTTAACTATAGTGAAATTTTTAGCCGATTATACATACTATAAATTGGATTTTAAGAATTTTTATTGCAGTATTGGAAGTTTGTAAAGATAAAATAGATAATTATTTTGAAAAAATAAGTTACATATATACAGTATATACTTTATTAATAGTACAGTATAAAACAATAAAAGATATTGGCTTTTTTATTTTATTATTAAATATGCTAGAATTGAGAACAATATAAAGCATCTACTTTTTAATACAGTACAGAAATTTTTAAACCAACAAGTTATTAATAAAGGTGGTCAAATTATGGACTTATATATATAACTTTATACAAAAATAAGACAATATGATTGGCTAATGTATGTATTAGATCAAACTACAGTATTCTGCATTGTACTATATATATATTGTATATACTGTATAGTAATATTTTTTTATTTTATTTTTTAATGTTAAAGGTGAGGCCTTTCTCTTATCTTTATTAAACTTAATGAAAACTTTTTACATGATTGGAAAAGGTTTTATGTTTTAAGCCTCTGTATTGTAACATTGATAAATATATATATATAATTCTTATAAAATAGGTTTTGTTAATTATTTTAATTTATATAATTACATACAGTACAGTATATAGTAATTTGTTAGTAATAAATTTACTGAATAGCAATAGATAAAAATATCATTACCAAAGTATACTAGTTAATTTTTACTTTAGTGTTTATAGCAACAAAACTATTATATACAGTATAAAAATAATCCAAATATTTTATTAGTAATACAGTATATATGTAATTGTTGCTATTAAGGCTTTGTAAGTTTAGTTAAGTTTACACTGGATAACGATCGGAATTTATATTGTTATACGTATAGATATATGATTATAAAATGCGTTTTTTTTTCTATACACAGTCGACTATATACAATATATCATGAATTCGATAATTTGATGGTTTTTATATAGAAATAACTATTCCTCACCCAGGTGAATAATTCACCACCTTAAGTAACAATTTGCCGCCAACCACTAATGGTTAGATGGGCTTAGGGTAAAATTGCGTAAGGATCATTTTTTTGTTAAGTGATTTTATTAAAACTAGAATGTAAGTGATGAATATCAAAAATCACCCTGGGTGATACTCTTTTATATATATCTTTTTTATCGATTTTAGAAAGAATTGAATAATTTTTCTACAACAAAATTATCGAAAAAATCTTAAAATGAGAAAACAATAATGAATTGTTTTTTTTAATATTAAAGAGAGTATATTTAATAAAGTCCTGATTAGATAGTGATTTATTGTCAAAGGAACGTTCATGATTTATGATAAATTGTTATAATTACATGGGATGCAAAATGATAAAAACTTTTCTCTATTCACTTGAGAAAAAAAAATATCGTATATATAAAACAATGCTTGATATTATATAAATGAATAAGAAAGAAAAGAATTAATTATTTTCTTCTTTTTTTTTCTTGAGCTAATTCGATCATCCAAGAATGAAATAGATCTTTTGGCATCCACCATTGTTTTGAGAGAAATTCTAAATCAGGAACAAGCAACTTTTTATGATTAATATATTTTATAATCAAAGTCCTGATCTCGGATAGTTCTTGTTCATTCGATTCGACGCTTGATAAATCAGATTTCTTAGCATTAGGAAACCATTTATCTAATACGCAAGAAAATAATTTAATCTTTGAGCTTTCATTACAATTTAATGAAGGATTATTTAAAACGTCCAAAATGAAATCTTTTGTTATATTATGATTATTATTCAAGTAATCCTCGAAATCTCCAAAATTTTCAGAAACTAAGAAGATAACTTTTTTACGAATCATAGATTGATGTCGAGATTTCACTAACCAAGAATCAGGTATCCCACAACCCAATTCTAATATAAAAGGTTTATTTTCAGAAATCCATTTCATGCAATGACTTATTATCGATTGAGTATTTGTTTCCAAAGAAGCGAATAAGATTGGAATTACGTTATTAGGATCAAGTGGAAATGTATGAGTATAATAAAGTAGTTTTATCATATTGAGAAGGCCGGTTGAAAGGTGAGGATGAAGATTTTGCCAAGGAAAGATCCATTCTTTTAAGAGTTGACCCTGTGAAGTTGAAAAATATTCACAAAAGTACACGGATTGTATCGACAGAATAATTTTGTGAAATTCATAAAATTCATGATTAATGCAAATTTTAATGTCGCTATAATATGGTTTTGTTGTAAAATGTAGGCAATCGGTATATTCAATTGTCGAAGTAGATTTAGAAGTTGAAGAATTTAGGATTGGCGAGACGGTGTTAGGTCTTTAAATTGATGGTAATGATGGGAATCATAATGTGTATATTATTAAAAAGAATATGTATTTGAGTAATTATAATTTGACAATATATAATAATAATAATAATAATAATATATATATATATTTTAATATGTAAATATATTTTATAAATTTCAAAATTATAAAAAGTCTCAAAACATAAAATTATAAATACATACGATTCGGAAGTATCATTTTCAATGTCATCTTTTTTTAATACCTCAAATAAACCTTGTAAAACGAGTTTATTAGGTATTAAATTATCAGCGAGAGCGACTTCCCAATTTTTTGGATCGAGCAAAGAATAATTAACAAGTTTGAACCATTCATATAACTTATAATTATGATTTAATCGTTCATAAGCCTCTTTTATATTATGAAAAGTAAACTCCAAATTTTCATCATCATTAACATCATTTTCAATAATCCCATTCGGCTGTTGAGAATATAAAGTAGAGTTTGAAATACCATCTTCAACTTGTTTTTCAGTCTCATCACCTATTTCATTAGTAATATTTCCAGATTGTTGAGCCTCAGTAACGGTACTTTCTTCACTAGAATCTTCACTAGACTCTTCTAATATATCAGAAAAAGGCATAGCAAATTTTAAAGCCATTTTATTCCATTTTTCTTCAAAAGTTTCATCATATTCTTCAGAACCACAGAAATCAGCCACTATCTTTCTAATAACAGAAAATTTTTGATCCTCATTTTTTAGTTTAACACAATCACATTTTAACACACGATCCAATCTTACAGAACACATCACATCATTATCGATTTCCCAAAGTTCATCGAAAGCAATAGCTAACAGCCAATCTGGTATTACCTCCTCAAATTCATTTTCTATAGCATCTAAATATAACGTATATATTTCTTGAGCGGAAATAAAAGATAAATTTAAAGGAATTTTCCTTTTAAAATCGTAAAAATTATCAAAGTATGTTGTGGCATGTATGGTAAGTTTTCCGATTGCGAGTCGATCTGATATTGAAAGGATTGAAATGAGAGTTTTATGATTAATGGAAATATAACCAGTATACATATAACGAAGGATTTGTGGAAAAACGTTGAAAGGATCTTTTAACCGAATCACAACAGCATTTTCTTTGTGTTCAATGAAATTTCGAGAAGATTCAAATAATACTTTAAAATATTCTGATTGTTGGGATAAAACATATCGATGAACTTTATATTCTTTTGTGGTTATGTTTGAACTTTGTTCTTCATTTTCTTGTAAAGACTCGTTTATAATAAAGATGCTAAAGTCTGAACAAAATTCATATCTTTTCAGATCGAAATTTAATGACGATTCTTTAATTTTCGAGTCACACATATTCAAAGGAAGGATATTATTAAAAAAGAGAAGAAAAAAAAAAAAAAGTATTTTGATTAAGTTTAGAATTTATTTCGGAAGTACTGAGTATTTATGTTTTTTTTTTTTTGATCACTGTGGCTCGTGCTTAGCCTAATTAGCTAAACCGCATCACCAAAGCTAATAAAATACTTGCATATCTATTTATGTGATTTTAGTACTTTATCACAAATACTGAGTTCTTGACTTCTTTTTAATAATTGAATACGCAATGAATTATTCTAAGAATTTACTTAATATATACTATAAACCAGCATTAATACGTACAAGTTCTACGTATAATTTTTTATTATAAAGATTTATATTAAGAAAATGTTAGCCAATTAAAATCTTTATAAAATTATACGTATATGCTAAATACTGTATATATATATATAATTCACACTGTTATAACCTAAATAAAAGTTCATTCTGATTTGTTTGTTTAGATAAAGAGTACATAATTGTAATTCTTTATTTTAAAAAAAAGTTATAACAATTCTATTAACATTAATAATAAAAAAGCGAATATCTTATCCCGTCCTGTACTGTATTGACAGGTATAGATTTAAGAGAATTACTGTATAAAGTAAATTTTAATTAACTTTGTGTTCGTGTTACTGCTAACGTAAACGATCAAGTTGTTATTTTATTCCGTAAGCTTAGGATTATATCAGATTTAACGCAGTAAATTACTCTTATTATTAAATATATAAATAGGATAGTAAAAAAAACTGGCAACTAATTTTACTTCAGAAATCTGCGGCAGATTTCTGCGTTTTGGCGCAGACCTTCCTGTTCAAATTTCTTATTATTACATTATAAAAAAAATCGTGTAACATTATGATGTTTATTACTGAAATTCTAAACTAAGACTGCGCTATAAAATCAGAAATACAATTTTATCGCTCTATGAAACCCGACTTATTGCTCATTTTGATTAGTCTCATTTAATTGTATCTAAGTCGTTTTACGAACTTAAAAAAAAGAACAAATATATGCGCTGTTGCTAATACAACGAAAGAAAGACTAGATTACATTGTTAGTACAGTATTAATATTCTAAGGTACGTACGTACGTACGTATTATCGTTCGTTACGTGTTACAAATTTGACGGTTATTTTTCGAACATCCTAATACTACATAACTGTATCGGTATGTTATCCTACGTATTCCCGTTAACTTTTCAACGTGCATAATACAGTACACCTATGTAAGAACCTATCATTTCTAATATGTACTGTATTAAATAATCCCTTAAGGTAGTATGTTAAACCATTAATCAAGTAAGTTACATAGCGAAAAAATTCGCGTTTTATATTGTGTCCTAACCTCGATATTAATCCATATAGTCACAACCTTGACATAGTCACATCATTTTTTTATCTTCTGCAGAAACTTTGATTTTTGTAAATATTACAACTGATGATCAGTATTGGTATTTGGATTATGTCCAATAAAAATTTTTTTGAACTTGGACAAATATGGGCATGGACTAATCCAGACCCAAAATGTTATTACGTCATATATATATAATTGTTCATATTGGGCTGCCGTCAATGCAATAAGGCTTAAAAAAAATCAATGAACCTAAGCTTTCTTTTTAATATTAAATCATCAAGATAGCTTCAAAGCTCATCGAGATATGATCTGTGAAAATTAATTTTTTCAATCTGCCTTATTTCTATTGACGGCAGCCCATATAACCGCCAAGCTAGTAACAGGCTCGTGAACTGCTGGCGAAGCTCGATAAAAATTAATTTCTTTTTGTAGAGTTAAGGAAACTGGCAAAATTCTGCTTACTTTGTCTTTAATCCGATCTTTGCCGAATTTTTGGAATATTCGGACATTTACCTAATTTTGGCCTCGACCTTTCTTGAATATTGGAATATCATCATGTGTTTGATTACGTCCAATAGAAAAATATAGTAAAAAGAAAAGGATGTATGCTTCGCACCCTTGTGATATTTATTTATATCATAGCACCCGTAAAAATCATGCGAAAAATGCGTTATCGTTATACACTGAGTCAATCTTGGCCAAGTGAATGACGAAAGCTGGCGCAGATTTCTGACCAATCAGACAAATGATATTCAATCAGATAATCAGAAAAAATTTTTTGATTTTCACACGCTCTTTTTGTTTTACTGTTATTTCTGTTATTTCTGTTTCAGTCTTTTTCATTCTTTATGTATTTTATCCGGCAGTTTACTATGCCCAATAATTTTATTATTTGGCAGAGATAATAGTTAAAAATAGTTTAAACTATTGTTTCTGCCCAATAATTTTATTATTGGGCAGGCCAATCATAATAAACCGCCGGATAAATTTATTTGATCAAGAATTTAAATTCAGCATAAGAAATTGAATTCCGAAGGAATTCAACTCCCTATGCTGATCTTAAATCCTTGACCAAATAAACCCGTTATCAGGCAGTGCCTGCCTGATAACTTATTACGTATTATACGACATTTTCTATTTATCGAATTTTGCATATACCAACTGTTGAATTTTATCATTTTTATGCACGTGAGTTACACACGTTATTCGAATTATTTTAAATCCGTACCGGATTTAAAATATATTCGAACAACGTGCGTAACTCACGTGCATAAAAATAATAAAATTTC